GCGTATCTGCAGCAGTCACAGTGGAAGAACCCCCCAAACAACATGGATAATAATGCCTAATCAATATTTTCTGATGAAAATATACAGCACTTACTGTTTTATCTCATCATTTGATTTTGATAGCTGGGGAAAATATGGCAATATATAGTGATACTGCAATATCGTGTTAATATCGTATCGTGACCCAAGTATCGCGGCATGTATCGAATCGCAACACTCATGCCAATACTCACCTCTACAATTGACAAGAGGTGGCAGAGGAGGGAAACACAAACCTACAACCAAAATAAAAGCAAGATAGACAGGTGTCCAACAGCGGTCCCTAGTGGCCAGAATAGTCATAGTACCTAACACTTGAACACCAATCTGGATTATTTTAATTAATAACTGGATTATTTCACACTACCAAAGTTGCAAAACTTTTATAATCCTTAATCTCAAAATAGGACACAACTGAATGTTCTACTGCATTTTGCATCGCATTGAACGTTTTCATAGTAATCCCCGTTTGCACCATGAATTTAAACTGGTTTCTTTTCTCCTTACATTGTTAAATTCTGATCACTGCTGCACTTTATATTGGTAATGTTTGTCTTATTCCAACTGCAATATCATCACACTGTTGTAAGCAGTATGCAACAAAATTTTGTTTTGTATTCAGTCTGTGCATACAAAATGACAAAATTTGTCCTAAAAAACAAAGTCTAAGTTCAGGTCGCACTAGCTTCCGTACCATACAGAAAAACAGCCCCAACACTTCCTTCTCCTATCTGTCTTGAACGGAGGAAGAATAACATTGATATGCCTTATTAAGCCAGAGTAAAGAGCATTTGTTCAGGACAAGATCCGCTATGCGATAAACCGGTAACAGTAACGGGAGACATTAAGGTGTAACAGCTGTAGGCCATCTTAGTAAAGAACGGAGACTTTGAAACCCTATACAACATTTTTAATCACCATCTCTCCTAAACTGTTTGATGTGAAAACATGAATACAATAAGTCTGAATTGGCTCACATAATCTTGAGACCGTTCTAGCACTGCAATTAAAGGAACTTTCTATATCAGTAGTGGTTTGGCTGCACAGCTGGGTTGTTTGCGAGCATTAAAATTGCCAATCACTGAAAAATGAACAATTCAAAGCAAACGTCTTTTTTTACACCTTTTTTAACTCATCACAATGGCACAACATTTTGTGTATAAACAAAAACACTGGTATAAATGTTTTGCAAAGCTTGCTAATTGTTACGATCAAACACTCTTATCTGTATCTGTTATACATATTGATTTATTTATCATTGTTCAACACAAAGTTTTGCCATTTTTGCACATTTTGCAAACGTTCCTCTCTTTTAACAGTGTTGGGTCTTTTAAAAAATATATTTTTGACCAAAAACAGCCCAATAGATCAGTTTAAGAAGGACTTTGAAATGACTTTTTATGCCAGAGTTTTGAGCATTTGTTCGGCATAAAATCCTCCATGTATTAAAGCCTGGCCGAGAGGGCAGACTTTTTAGCCGCAGCTGTATGTAAACAAAGTCACTGTAATT